TTTCTAAATATTCAACTTCAAAGTCAAAATTTTAAAATATGCATTTCAAAATTGTGATATTTCGTTTTGTCGATTGTAGACAAATTGAAGAAATGTTCAAAGGAAAGAAGTCTAAATCAACTTCTGGATATCGAAATGAACAAATGGATATTTTTGATAATTTTCACACTCAGATCTGTGGAAAATTTAAGATTTTGGTGAAGTCAAAAATTTCACAGAAAATTTTGAAAAATAAATACCGATGGACTGAATCGAAAACCGTAACGTGCTAATGGTCTCACGTGCTGATGCGAGATTTTGAAAATTCTCAGTTTCAAAGTCAGATTTAAAATTTACCAACATTGTTTTGGAAAAAAAGTAGTCTAGAATCGAAAACACTTCTGGAGGTCCAAATCTAGTAAAAATATCTTTCCGTAAATTTCGAAAGAGCTCGGAAAAATGTCAAAATTTTTGTAAGGAGGGAGTACACAAGTCACTTTTAGCCTCGTTTTTCAAAAAACTCCTATTTTTCCAGAATCGCCCAATGAAATATGTTAGTTAGTTTTGGGATTTAAAAAAAAGTAATTTCAAATCGAATGTTTCTACAATTATAAACCGGGACCAAAAATAAACTATATTCTTCGAATCAGTAGATAAAGATGTACATCCTAGAATTTTTTGTGTATTTTTATGCAACTTTTTCAAAAGCTCAATTTTTCAATGATGAAAAATTCGACCCTTTTTCGACCATTTTCAAAGCTTACCTAAAGATATTTTCTTGAAGTTTTCGGCCTTCAAAAGTTACTTTCAGAATCATTTTTATACCGTTTTTGCAGAATGGCTGAATGAAATATGACAACCTTTAGAATTAAAAAAAAATAATTTTAAATCGAATATTTCTGAAATCTAGACCCCGAGACCATAAGCACGTTATATTTTTCGAATCAGCACGTCTATATCTATATCTCAGATTTTTATTATGAATTTTTAGGCAACCTTTGCAAAAACTCAATTTTTCATTACTAATACTTACCAAGATAAGACTGATTTTGGCAAAGACATATTCCCTAAGAAAATAGAGGGTGGGTGGGCGGGGCTAGTATTTGATAAGATAAGACTGATTTTGGCACTTTTGACATGTTCGACCTTTTTTCAACTATTTTCGAAAATTAGTTGTATACATTTTCTTCTAAATTTCGATATCCAGAAGTCATTTTCAGCTTCGTTTCTTCGGAAATTTCTACAGTTTTTCCAAAATACAATTATTTTAAGAAAATAAATACTTGAGGTTCTTATAAATATTCACAGAAATGTTATTAGCCCCAAGCACCCACCCTGCCTCTTTTTCAATGATTAATTTTATCCAGCCTGAATGAAATGAATGATCTTATACTGAACAGAAATAAAATTAGTCGTTAGAATGAAAAGAGGGGGAGGGAAAATTTCGACCCTTTTTTGACCATTTTCAGAACTTACCGAAAGACATTTGCTTGTAGATTTCGGTGTCTATAAATTACTCTCGGCCTCATTTTTTCGATAACTCTTACCATTTTTCCAGAATCGTCCAATGAATTACGGGAATTTTTGAGCTTTCGAAAAAGTTATCAAAAAATCCACATAAAAATCTGGAATATAAATCTCGACGTCCCCGAGCAAGACTTTAGAACTACTGGGATTAAAAATCATTTTTTGAGCAAATGTCGAAAATTGTGGGAGTTTTCAAAAAATCAGTCGTCTAAGTTAATATTAAGTGACTTAATTAATAATTTACAATATACACAATTTAATACTTATCGTACAATTTTCGTGTAATTAGGGCAAGTTTTTTCCTACTTTTCAGATCAAAGTGTTAAAAAGTCGCTGTACCCTAGACTGCGCGGCACAATTTTTTTAGAACAATCATCTTATAATACACAAAACTGCTCAAATATTTCATCACAGCTAAAAAAAATTTAAGCTACATCCTTAGCACACACAACGGGATACTTGCGTACACGAAATTACCCCTAAACTACGCAAATATCGCCCCTTGTTAACGCGAGCAGACAGCTTAACTTTACTCACTAGTTCATACACTCCTCCAAAACCACAAGACGCTTTTATGAATTTTTCATCAAGAAATGTAACTCCCGCATTACAAAAATGGTTATCATATCACGCGAAATGCAAACTTCCCTAGAGGATCCTTCGGCGCGCCGGCCTCGTCAGTCTTGTAGTCTTCTTCATAATAATAATGTGAAATTAAACCCCGGTCTCAGCTTCCATAAAACGAAAATTACACACTTGTGCTAGTTCGCGTGCGTTCCGAAACTTTAAAATATAAATTAGATTCTTTATCTAACCGCACTTTTAATTTAAGTTTATAACAACTTCCGTATATCCTGCTGCAACCCTCTTGCTAAAGCACGAAACGGAATAATAGACTTGTAGCCGGTTTATGTTTTCGGCAAAGAAACTATAGTTGGCTGCCACTCACCAGAAACCATTTAATTTTAACGAGTGGGTTATATCTTTGAACTATAATAATTAGGAAGTTGATTAGTACGATGTAGCGCACACGTTTCCTTTGAAATAACTGACAGATTAATTCCAGGTTTAATGAATTCGATGAGAAATCCACTAACTAAATTTTGTAGGAATTGGAGAGTGCGTCCATGTTGGGTAGAATTCAACTTGTCATCAAATTTAGTTTTTAGTAAGGAAATTTGTCTTGAGCAAGCGGTGCCTGATGGATCGAAGGTGGTGTCAGTTACCTGTCCCATCAAGCACGAACAAGAACGTTTGCATCATGCAGAGATTACTCATCACATTTCGGGTGTTCCTTGATGGATTAATGAGTGAGAGAAGAACGACAACGTTAATTTATTTCGCGCTAATCTCGCAGAAAAAGTGCGTTTTTTCGGGCGACTAGTGTATTTAAATCTGTCGTTTAACTCAAACCCGTCCCACTTCCTCTCGTCGATTAATTTTTTGAATCGCACTAAGAAAAATAAAAATTCTCTGGCATTAGTACGCTAATCAAGAATAATGTTTAACATCCATTAGCCCTTCTTATGAAATAAGGCCGTTTGGGGAATCACGGCCGCCCTCGTTAACCCCCGATATTAATTACAGCAACCACACCCCGCTCGATTCGGCTACCGCAACATTTTTCCTCTCAATTTTTGTTGGACGAAGAATTCTCGACGAAAAGAAAAAGGGCCAAGTTTTTATGCATATTTCGAATAATTCGTTCAAAGTTCGACGTAATAAATTCCCACTGATTGCCATAGCTCGTACATTAATGGCTCCTGGGGGAAATAAAGTCGTTATACATATTGCCTTACAAATTAAAAAAGTTCGATATTGCCGACAAATTCGTGTGAAAGTTGTTTGGCGCAAGAACATGTCCCATGCTGATGGCGCTTCGAGTAAACAGAATAATAAGCAGATGGAGTAACGTCAAACGGGGCAAAAAGTAACATTGAAGACCTGATGTTTACGAAATCTGCTGAATTTATCAACAAAACATTAATCATTCGATCCCGTTTCCCGACTATCCCGATTCCGATGAATATTCAAGCACCCGCATTCGCGAAGGGACGCCGGAATACATATGTCATACGTATCACGATGCGTGGAAAGTCGCGAGTTGTTCACTCTGACGCCCTCTACCCAAGGATAGTTAAAGTTTAATTAATAACTGAATATGTACTACGGAATAACAAACTAAGTTATAATGAACATCGTCGACCAAACGCAGCTCTAATCTCACTAGAGATGACATTAGCAATGTCAAAACAAGAAAAAGAAGGACTGCCAACATATTTGACACAGTAATATCAATTTTCCCCAAAAACAATATAACAAAACAAATTCAACACTTTTGCTTAACCCTGTACAACATAATTAACTTCGCGACTACCCGTTCAAACTCTCATAAACATGCATATGCGACTAATAACTCGTAATTACAAATTTGAATTACGACGCTAGTTATAACTAGAGTTCCTAGGAGTCCAACATACGTCTTTTTAAACGATTTACGATTTACACAGCTTTACTGTCGCCCCCTGGCTGCCAAAAAGTAAACTCATAAAACAAAACAATCGCCGATTCTTTCTCACATCATTTTAAAAACTGAAAATAAATCCTCCCATCTTGCCTAAAACACATATATTTTTCATTCGCCGGATTCGCTACTTATTTTTGGCCGTTTGTTATGAAATATCATGAAAACAGGATCCACTAAAAAGAATGAATTTCATATTTATGCAAAAAAATTCGATGTTCTCCACACTCGGCATGCAAAACACACCATCAACGCGAAGAAGCGAGTCACGCAGTGTTGCCAACCGTATCGATTGCGTGCAGAAACTATTTTTTTTGTATAGGCGTTTCGATGTCAAGGATGTGGCTATATTTGTATTTTATGAACTTGTCGATTCCCGAATATGGGAAATTCTCGCGAAATAAGTTGTGTCTAGACCTGATTTATTTTAACAATCTGACGTGTGTTCGTTTTAAATTCATAGCAAGCGAGTTTCCATTCAGCCGCGAATTCTTTTAATGCTGCTTGTCATACTCCGAAATAACGAAATGTCAGCTTGTGAAAATAAACAAGTTGTAAATTCTAACTAACCAAATTTTATTTTTATCATTAACGCAATCACTTTGTTAAACTATATTTAATATTGCGTTATTATCTTAAGTTATATTTAGACATTGCCAAAATACTGCAGTGACCTTGACCGGATATAATTTATTTGCAATTTCGAAATTATTATGTCTGATTATAAACTAACAAAGATATGCAACTTTAGAAACAAATGAGATAAATGAGAAAGAATAATTACAAACACGTATCAATAACAATAAACAAAATTTGAATTTTCGTCCCCAGTCGTTTCGCTTCGTGCACTGTCGAAAAAGTACGTTTTGTACGTGCTCTAATACAAACTATTTTCAGATGTACAAACTCAACAAAAATAAATATTGATTATCTATCTATCTACAATTAACAAATTATCAATAATCAATTAACAGTCATATTTATAACAAAACAATTCTGGCCAAATTTATATCAGTACATCACTTCGTCTTTCTTAGGTCGACACCGATTCCATCGAATCTGCGCGAGTTCCTTGACCACGTGCCATTTGCTTGCTTGTAAACACCAAACCTAACCTAACTTCGTCTTATCCGGACTTTGTGACTTAAAAACCGCTAAAATGGGGCTGCAGCAAGGTAAGTTCGCCCATTTCTCACCGCCCCCTCTACTAACGCCTCTCTCCAGCTGATGTGGCCCTCTATATCGACGCCGCCGACGAAGCCCACGCCCGTCTACGCAACGCCGCCCCCACGAGCCCGCAGGAGCTGCCACATCTCAAATTAAGCGATTTCGCCACCAACAATATCCACTTCAATCTCGGCAATATCACGGTGTTGGAAATCAGCAATTGTGATCTGACTGAAATCCCCCACAACATACAAAAGTTAAACTTGAAACAATTGATTTTAACTCATAATAAGCTCAAGGAAGTTCCTAGTTGCTTGTATTCCGGGCTGAGTTCGCTTGAATTGTTAGATTTGTCGCATAATTTTCTCACGGATTTTCAAGTGGCGCCGGCGTGTAGAGAAGGTATTGTGAAATTGAAACTTTCGAATAACAAAATCCGGGATTTTCCGCAGTGGATTTTATCGTTGTCGTGTTTGAAACTGGAAGAAGTGTATTATAGTAGGAATTGTGTGGTTAAGTTGGATGTGAGTAGGGAATTAGGGATTAAAAAATTGGAGATGGGTAATTGTCAGTTGATGGATGTAGATTTTGTGTTTTTGAAGAGAATTAAGACGTTGGAGGCGCTGGATATTAGTAATGATACGTCGAGTCGGAATGAAAATAGGTTCAAGGATATCAATAAGTTGTTTAGTAGGACTAGGTGGCAGAAGTTGGCTTCGTTGAATTTAAACAACGTGACATTGTCCATTATTCCAAAAGGGTTATTTTGGCTTGTGTCGCTAAAGGAGCTGCATCTCGTCAACTGTTCCCTAAACTGGATACCTGAAGAAATAGAACATTTACATAACCTAAGAACTATAGACATTTCCGAAAATTTTATATGTTCGCTACCGAAGCAACTAACCTTGCTTGAAGAACTACGCGTTATTAAAGCGCATCATAATTATATTTCTTCAGTTAGCAGATTTCACGGAGACTTAGAAATTTTGGACTTATATGACAACCAGTTAGACTCGTTCACGCAATGTATAGATAACATAACATACATAGATTTAGAAAAAAATGCGTTTGACACATCGATTTTAAACCAACCTAAAAACTACTGTTTAAAACGAGATAAACTTCGCGAGGTGTTGAATTTCCACAACAGAATTAACGGTAAGATTGATTTACCAGAGGATGACCCAGAATCGTGTGATGAAGATTATACGTGTGATCTTTCCTTTGACGAGCCTGACAATAATCCACCACATTATTATCACATGGAAATTGAAGAGGAATGTTGGGATGAAGAAAAGCCCGAAGAAGTGGTACCTTCGGTTACAAACCCAGAAATAACACCCTCCGACGATGAGTGGAATGGAAAAGTAGAAATAATCTACAGGAAGAAATTAACAAACTTGAGTTTGCAATTCGATGCAGATGAAGACTGGATTTTTGCGGATGTTGAAGAAGCAACAAATTAACATTTAAATAAAAATTTTTTACTTATCCTTGTTTTGAATACATATATTTATTTTTTTAATTGGTGTGATACATAGTTCGTTGTGTTTTGTATAAATGTCACTTTTAGTCTTGTTATTTAATTTAGTCTGAGTAATAAATACATGCAGAATTTTTACTTACGCTTATGCATCTGATGAAAAAAACAAACTCCTAGTAGGCCGTGCAATTTGTTTTTAAAATAGTGGTGGCAACGCCTACTAGATCAGTTTTTTTTTTTTCATTTGGTACATAAAATACAGAAGATTAGTTTCACGCCTTTCACCAACAAAGTTGCAACACTGTCGTTCAAATTTTATAGACGGAGTTGCGTCATTATGCACACGCAAATTCCACGTGAAAAACGACGTCAAATAGTTGTAGAATATTCAAAATATCTGTAATCCTGTTCCGCATGTATTTCGTGGTTATTGATTATTTATGACCACCGCAGTGTGTAAACAACAAGGCTATACCGCTGGCTGAGGTCAAGTGATCGCATGTGGATGAGCCAAATCGACATTGAACCAACCAATGAGATGCGAGTTTTCAATTAATGTTAAACGTCTACTCGAAGTAGAGACGAAAGGTGTGAAGCGCCTGCACTTCCAATTGTTGCGAAAAAAAATCGAAATTTCTTTGACGTTTTCTAAGTACTACTCTATTTTGTTTAAAATTAGTGACTAAGACCAATACTGTGTTCATGAACGAGCCGGAAAAGTTCTGTAAACAAATTGACATAAACATCGTTATTATCATTAATGTTTGTGTTGTCAGTTTGGCAACATATCTAAAAAAATTTATGATACCTGATGTCGAATTCAAATTTGGACACCAGTAAGCACCAACTTCTCAGTGATGTTTAGGTGCACTCATCTCAAAATTGACAATAATTGTGAACTGACAATAATTCAGAACTGCCAACCCAAAAATTTTATTCAGTCATTAATAGTCACCCGGTATTTACTATAAATAATGTCAGATTTGTAGTTGGCCCGTAAAAAAATATCTATTTAATTCTGTTCATATTCTATATAATTATTTTAATTATTTTGAAGTGCACATGTAGAGGATTACAAAGTCAGAAAATTGGTCTAGGTTTATTAGATGGAAACGGGGACTTAATTTTTCGTACTCTACGAGTTATGAAATGTCGAGAAAACATGAAAGTAGCCGTTAGTCCGATGGACTCTATTACAATATTTCTGTAGTTTACGCTTGGGACGAAGCAAATTAACCGAATATTTTGTAGAACGGAAAAACGCAGAACAGGAAAAATGTAAGAAAGATTACAAGGTCACTTACGTCAGTAGAAGATTTTATCTAAACGCCTCTGAGATTCTTTTTTTCCCTTCACATACAAAACACTAAAATCCTCTGAGATTCATGCAAACTGTTTAAAAAAAATCACCGGAAGCCCCTGAGAATCTTTTTTTTTTCAAAAACGAAACGCAAGTGGCCCCCTAAATTCTTTCAATTTTTTTTAAAGACGAAACACCAGGAACCCTTAAGATTCCTTCAATCTTTTTCTCAAAAATAAAATACTTGAAATCCCTAAGATTCTTTTATTTTCATTCAAATACAAAACACTAGAGGCTCCCGAGATTCCATAAAAAAAATTCCGTAATGAAACACTGAGGCCCCTGAGATTCTCTCAAACTGTTTAAAAAAACCGAGACCCTCTGAGAATCGTTAATTTTACATTTCTTTTGAACAAAACACTAAAAGCCCCTGAGAATCTTTCAATCTTTATCTCAAAAACAAAACACCTAACATCCATTTTTTTTTCTTCAAATACAAAACATTAGAAGCCCCCGACATTCTATAAAAATTTTTCAGTAATGAAGCACTAAAGGTCCGTGAGATTCTTTCAAACTGTTGCAAAAAAACCTGGGAGCCTCTGAGAATTGTTAATTTTACATTTCTTTTTAACAAAACACTAAAGGCCCCTGAGATTCTTTCAAATTTTTTCAAAGGCGAAACACCAGACGCCCCTGAGATTCTTTCAATCTTCTTCTCAAAAACAAAACACCTGGAATCCCTAAGATCCTTTTTTTTTCTTCAAATACAAAACATTAGAAGTCCCCGACATTCTATAAAAAAAAAATCAGTAATGAAGCACTAGAGGTCCCTGAGATTTTTTCAAACTGTTTCAAAAAAACCTGGGAGCCTCTGAGAATCGTTAATTTTACATTTCTTTTTAACAAAACACTAAAGGCCCCTGAGATTCTTTCAAACTTCTTCTAAAACAAAAGCTCGGGGCATCAGGGTATCCTGCAATTTTTTTAACCAAACACTATAAGTTCCCAAGATTCTTACAAATTGTTTCAATAATGAAGTACTAGAACCTTTTGAGATACTTTCAAAGTGTTTCAAAAAAACTCGGGGTCCTTTGAGAATCTTTAATTTTACTTTTTTTTTAACAAAACACCAAAGTCCCCTGAGATTCTTCGAAATTTTTTTAAAAACGGGAGCCTTTGAGAATCTTCAAGTTTACCTATTTTTAACAGAATACTAAAGGCTCCTAAGATTCTTTCAAACTTTTTCTAAAACAAAAGATCAGGGCATCAGGGTATCCTGAGATTTTTTTAAACAAACGCTATAAGCCCCCGAAATTCTTACAAATTGTTTCAATAATGAACTAATAGAGGCCTTTGAGATACTTTCAAACTGTTTCAAAAAAACCCGGAAGCCTTTGAGAATCTTTAATTTTACTTTTTTTTAATAAAACACTAAAGGCCCCTGAGATTTTTTGAAATTTTTTCAAAGACGGGGGCCTTTGAGAATCTTCAATTTTACCTTTTTTGTTTAACAAAACACTAAAGGCTCCTAAGATTCTATCAAACTTTTTCTAAAACAAAAGATCAGGGCATCAGGATATCCTGAGATGTTTTTTAACCAAACACTATAAGCCCCCGAGATTCTTACAAATTGTTTCAATAATGAAGTACTAGAGGCCTTTGAGATACTTTCAAACTGTTTCAAAAAAACCCGGGAGCCTCTGATAATCTTTAATTTTACTTTTTTTTTAACAAAACACTAAAGGCCCCTGAGATTCTTTGAATTTTTTTCAAAGACGGGAGCCTTTGAGAATCCTCAATTTTACCTTTTTTTTCACAAAACACTGAAGGCTCCTAAGATTCTATCAAACTTTTTCTAAAACAAAAGATCAGGGCATTAAAATATCCTGATATTTTTTTTAACCAAACACTGTAAGCCCCCGAGATTCCTACAAATTGTTTCAATAATGAAGTACTAGAGGCCTTTGAGATACTTTCAAACTGTTTCAAAAAAAACCGGGAGCCTCTGATAATTTTTAATTTTACATTTCTTTTTAACAAAACACTAAAGGCCCCTGAGATTCTTTGAAATTTTTTCAAAGACGGGAGCCTTTGAGAATCTTCAAGTTTACCTTTTTTTTTAACAAAACACTAAAGGCTCCTAAGATTCTATCAAACTTTTTCTAAAACAAAAGATCAGGGCATTAAGATATCCTGAGATTTTTTTTAACCAAACACTATAAGCTCCCGAGATTCCTACAAATTGTTTCAATAATGAAGTATTAGAGGCCTTTCAGATACTTTCAAACAGTTTCAAAAAAACCCAGGAGTCTCTGAGAATCTTTAATTTTACTTTTTTTTAACAAAACACTAAAGGCCCCTGAGATTCTTTGAAATTTTTTCAAAGACAGGAGCCTTTGAGAATCCTCAATTTTACCTTTTTTTTTCACAAAACACTAAAGGCTCCTAAGATTCTATCAAACTTTTTCTAAAACAAAAGATCAGGGCATTAAGATATCCTGAGATTTTTTTTAACCAAACACTAAAGCTCCCGAGATTCCTACAAATTGTTTCAATAATGAAGTATTAGAGGCCTTTCAGATACTTTCAAACTGTTTCAAAAAACCCAGGAGTCTCTGAGAATCTTTAATTTTACTTTTTTTTAATAAAACACTAAAGGCCCCTGAGATTTTTTGAAATTTTTTCAAAGACGGGGGCCTTTGAGAATCTTCAATTTTACCTTTTTTGTTTAACAAAACACTAAAGGCTCCTAAGATTCTATCAAACTTTTTCTAAAACAAAAGATCAGGGCATCAGGATATCCTGAGATGTTTTTTAACCAAACACTATAAGCCCCCGAGATTCTTACAAATTGTTTCAATAATGAAGTACTAGAGGCCTTTGAGATACTTTCAAACTGTTTCAAAAAAACCCGGGAGCCTCTGATAATCTTTAATTTTACTTTTTTTTTAACAAAACACTAAAGGCCCCTGAGATTCTTTGAATTTTTTTCAAAGACGGGAGCCTTTGAGAATCCTCAATTTTACCTTTTTTTTCACAAAACACTGAAGGCTCCTAAGATTCTATCAAACTTTTTCTAAAACAAAAGATCAGGGCATTAAAATATCCTGATATTTTTTTTAACCAAACACTGTAAGCCCCCGAGATTCCTACAAATTGTTTCAATAATGAAGTACTAGAGGCCTTTGAGATACTTTCAAACTGTTTCAAAAAAAACCGGGAGCCTCTGATAATTTTTAATTTTACATTTCTTTTTAACAAAACACTAAAGGCCCCTGAGATTCTTTGAAATTTTTTCAAAGACGGGAGCCTTTGAGAATCTTCAAGTTTACCTTTTTTTTTAACAAAACACTAAAGGCTCCTAAGATTCTATCAAACTTTTTCTAAAACAAAAGATCAGGGCATTAAGATATCCTGAGATTTTTTTTAACCAAACACTATAAGCTCCCGAGATTCCTACAAATTGTTTCAATAATGAAGTATTAGAGGCCTTTCAGATACTTTCAAACAGTTTCAAAAAAACCCAGGAGTCTCTGAGAATCTTTAATTTTACTTTTTTTTAACAAAACACTAAAGGCCCCTGAGATTCTTTGAAATTTTTTCAAAGACAGGAGCCTTTGAGAATCCTCAATTTTACCTTTTTTTTTCACAAAACACTAAAGGCTCCTAAGATTCTATCAAACTTTTTCTAAAACAAAAGATCAGGGCATTAAGATATCCTGAGATTTTTTTTAACCAAACACTAAAGCTCCCGAGATTCCTACAAATTGTTTCAATAATGAAGTATTAGAGGCCTTTCAGATACTTTCAAACTGTTTCAAAAAACCCAGGAGTCTCT